GAGCTCATTGACCTGCAGTGCAATTCTGAACTCAAAGCCAAGTTCAGGGAGGTGAGTGGAATAGCAGACAAGCTTGGACAATTTTTGAGAGAATTGCCCCCCACCTTCCCTGAGCTTTCCAGGATGTTCAAGCGGACCATGTGCCTTTTTGGGAGCACATATCTGTGTGAAAAGCTCTTCTCAACCATGAACTTTAATAAGTCAAAGTACAGGTCCAAACTTACTCATGAGCATCTTCAAGCCATACTGAGGGTCTCAACTGCTTCCTCCCTCAAGCCAAATGTGGCTGAGCTGTGTGAGAGGAAGCGCTGCCAGGTCTCTGGTAGCAAGGAGTAGGCAAGAGAAGCCTATGTTCTGAAGAACCGTTCATGCTCTGAAGAACCCGTTCATGTTCTGAAAAACCCGTTCATGTTCTGAAGAACCGTTCATGCTGTGAAGAACCCGTTCATGTTCTGGAGAACCGTTCATGCTCTGAAGAACACGTTCACGCTCTGAAGAACCCATTCACGTTCTGAAGAACCGTTCATGTTCTGAACTGTTATTAATGAAGATTGGATCAGTTGTACTTTTTTTTGGAATACTTGATGCAGCCCAGCCTCACCCAGACTCTACCTCCAGCGGCCCCCAGGTAATTTGAGTTTGAGACCCCTGACTTAGAGTAACTGATTATCACAATTGAATGCATTATAACAGTGATCATATTGCTTTAGAAAAAGATTATTCTGTGTTACAACTATTGGAGTTACAACAAACTATGATCCTTGCAATAAATGTCAATCAGTGACCAGCAATTATGAAGTAGTATGATACTTGACCTTTTAAGTCATTAAACGTCATTAAAACGTTATAATGTGTTATGATTATTGTTATAAAGCATTATGAATATGTATGAGTGCTTATACGTATAATTCAACAGTGCAAAAGCAGATTTTAACGCATACAAATTGATGTTTATAAATCATTATAGACATGGTCATCAAAGAAAGTGTTACTGTATTTGCTAAGATTCATAGATCTAAGGTCACAACATTTGTTTGTTCACTCTTTTGTCCTACGAGATTGTTCTCTAGTTCTTTGTTGCCTAAACCAGTTTCCTGAAGGGTGTCAAATCGTCCCAAACATAGATCATCCTGCCTCTCTGCCCTCACTACAACACAGATTGATTTCACTCTCCATCTCTCACACTGTGCACCTGGTGGCGGATGCTTTTTAAATGTCAGCCGGCGGAAGAAAAAACAATGCAATTAACCTCTAGAAGGGTGAAAAACATGTTAGTGTCTTTGGCTGGAACAAAAAAAAAAAGGACAAGACCTCCTCTGGCTGCTCCTCTACTGTTCTCTCTGGCTGCTTTCTGGGATCACGTCCCCTCATTCTGCTGGAACAGCTGATCCATGAAGAGCCTTTTACAGCTCCAGACAAGCTCTTTCTCTATGACTGATCCATGTGCAACTCAGGGTAACGGAAATGCACAGGCAATATCCCATTAAGATGAATGGACTTGTGTAATAATGCTCCAATACTGAGCTCTGTAAAGAGCAGCTTCGAGCCATACAATAAAAGAATACTGTATATGGAACTTTTGACTGTGCTGCAGGGGGCCATAGTCTGTGTGTTTTAATTGAGCTTTGGCTGCTAATGTGCTCTTTCCATGTGATTCTATGAGAGACTTGGGCTGAACCACGGCTGTGATTAAGCACAGGCATTTTATATCTAGTTCTGAACATTAATACAGCCTCAGCAGCATATTTTATGAGTGCAATAAACATAGATACTGACCAAAGCTCGACTTTGTCTGTCTGTCTTTGCCCTGTCTGTGTCACTTGTCATGTGACCATCATGGAACCAGAATGCTGCATAGCCAAGGGGCCCTGGCCTAAGATGAAATAGTTTGGTTGACAGTTTGACACCCATAAAGGAACCAAAGCCTGGCACAAACTGAATCTTGTTCATCTCTGCTAATTATATTCAATCACTCTGGCTAAGTCATGTCTGTCACATTGTTCAAGCAGTGCTTTAAAAGCCAGTTGGACTACTGCTGCTTACGTCTAGAATGAAGGCTGTTTGCAGACTGACCAAAGAGCCAGCCCTGCATTGATCAGGCACATTATCCTGTTTGGTCTCCTTAAATCAGCTACACCTCATCCAGCCCACGTTCTCCCCAGCTCAGGGGAAACATCTGCTCCCCCCGACATGCACAGGCCAAGAGAGATGCCGTGCTGAAAACCAAAGTACCTGTTCTCGTTTTCGTTCCTGTCAGGGACAGACGACCCATTTCAGCGTGGGGGAGAGAGAGGGACGAGACGTGAGGACACAGGGGAGACAGCGAGAGAGAGAAGGGGGTGCAGAGAGAGAAAGAGGAGAGGAGGAGGACAAACTCCACATGATACATGCATGTAAATCCTCACATGCACACACACACACACACACCCAAAGAACTGAGTGGAGTCTGGGTCAGAATCAGAGCAAAGCAATGACCTTGACTGTAAGAGAAGGGTTGGTATTAGAGTAACGTTAGACTCGTTATTGATTAAAGAGCTAAACAGGATCTCACACACTGGAGATAAAATGAATCACACGGTATTATGCACAGCAGGTGATAATAAATGCTGATCGCGCCTCTTTGGAGGCATTCATACTGTGATCCAAAGTCAATAACAACATTCAGAGGCCCTTTCCCATTCCTGTCTACAGTTAGAGAGAAAAGTGTTAGTGCCACTCTCACACAGCGGAGTTACAACATGACATGTGCAGCTTGGATTTAGAAAGCAGGTTAAATTCAACATCTTTTTAGTCAAAGCGGACGGACACAGAACAGACGGACTCATTCTTCATTAAGAGGAATGAAGCCACAGAGATCAGTGGGACCTGGAGGGAGCAAAAGACACATCACTTACTAACACATACTGCACATGACATACAGAACATCCTCGCCCTACTGTATATGTTATTCTCATAGAAGACCACTGCACAACACACAAATGAGCTTTCTATCATAAGGAAAAGGTTTAAGACCTTTCGTCCAGATTTACAAAGGTGGTGTTAGGATGGCGAGCAGGACGACATGGTGCCTCAGTTGTTTGAGCTAGACAGCTATTCAATACTATTCAAACAGTCATTTTTTAAAAGCTAGCCATCCATAGAAACGCCAGAAGGTCAACAGGTTGACAACAACATTGCTGTCGAATGGTACTTGATGTTGGATAACGTTGGCTAGATAATAATAAGAGGTTCTATCTGCCTTCTGTTGCCTTCCACTTTCTCTCTGATCCCTTTTTTATTGTTTCACTTCAGCCAATTACACAACACAGGGGTTATCACAGGTCATAAAAGCTACGAGCTAATTAAGGCTAACAGCTGTGTTAAGAACTTGTGTATGCTTAGTCATCATACTGAAAGATGTGATAATAACAACAGCTGTTGCTTTTTAGTGGGTTCTGTAATCAGTAGAACATGAAACATGTGTCCATAGAGCCGTTTTGAAAAGCTTCACTCTGAGGAGAAAAGCAGCAGCTTGGAGAGAACTAGATATGTTTTCAAATGTGCCTGCATTGTTGTTGGAAGGAGCCCTATTCACCATGATTCATTAACAATCATGAGTAAAAATGATGATGCCATTACCAGTGCTAGTACCCTTAGCTATACAAATACCAATAAGAGTACTTCATTTGATACCCATCATGTGAATGGAAAGTCTGTGTCCCACTGGCTAGCTAATCGCCGTCGCTCTGCACTGCACCAACTCATGGTGGCGTAGCACCCACCCTGCGGTTCCTCCACTGACTGGAGGTTTAAATTCTACGAGGTCCTGGGTTATTTGTCGATACCTAGCCCTAATGGTTAGCACACCTATAGGACAAATGGATCAAGGCTGCGCCTCCGTGCCCTAAAACTCCTATATAATTGAAGCATTGTCTCTGAACTGAAACGATTTCTAGCATGAAAACCCTCCTCTGTGCTTCCATGACTTGCTTGTGACAATGCTGGATCTGTCTCTTTGCCATCTTTCTAAAGTTCTCATATCCACTACAAGGAGCTGGAAATGGACGCCATGCCAATTTGAATATTCAGAACAAGGATTTTTTTCTTCAACAAGAGCTCTAAGCTTTCCTGCAGTGCCGATAAATAGCAGGTTTGTGATTCTGCTGTTTTAAGAATATAATGTTTTAAAGGTCCAATGTGTCGGATCTGGTGGTGTCTAGCAGTGAGGATGCAGATTGCAACCAACTGAAACTTCTCTCGCTTGTGAAGCCCGTAGGAGAACTGCAGTGGCTGATGGGAAAACGTGAAAACAGCAATGGCCCTGTCTAGAGCCAGTGTTTGGTTTGTCTGTTCTGTTTCTGTAAAAACAAGGCAGTATGTAGAAAAAAACAGCTCCTTCTAAGGTAACAAAAACCCAAGAATTCTTATTTTCAGACGATTATACACTAAAGAAAACATACTTAATAATATTATATTCAATTTCTGACAAAAGATCCCCCAAAATGTTACACACTGGCCCTTTAAAGTAAGCTAAGCTATGTACCCCATCATTGTGGGTGCTGCAGAGATGACATATTTTTTGTCGGCCAATCCCAAAAGTAAAAAAAAAACATGGTCACATGTCAAGGCTGTGAAAGCAATTTAGTCTGTGATGACGCTTTGCAGAGGAAGTTGTTTAGCCAGATGTTAGCAACCGCCTTTTTTAAGACAAATACAAGCTGCAAAATTATTTCATAGAAAATAAAATCTCTGAACCACAGACATTATTTCAGGTATCTAACCTAAAACACATTTAAAAAACCCATTGACTTGGAAATTAGGGAACCCTCAATTCTGTGTTTTAGGACTCATTCCTGCAGCACTCTATTGTATACAAGATGAGACAATACTACTTAGCTGTTATACAACCTGATCCAATTCCCTTGATCACTAGAAACTTAAAACAAACAAGCTTCAAATGATTTCAAAGGTCAGCGTTCAATGTTCAAACAAAGTGTGCTCACACTGTGGTATATACTTACTGGTAATCGAAGGATCCGTCCTGGTCTTTCTGATCTACTGGGTCCAAGGGGAGATCTTTTTTGTCACGGACTAAGGAAGGAAGAACAACAATGTTCAGCATTTTGCTGTTGTGGTTACATTTGACATTAAAGACCATCCACGTGTTAAGGGCTTCCTGGAGTTAGTTTGAAGAGAAATTATGTTAATCCTGATCTGGTAATACAGTTCCATGTCTTTGTCTTCAGTATTTTCTCTGGGATTAAGGTTGCAGTGTCAAACATGTGGTTAAAAAGTACTTGGTTAGGTTTTGTAAAAGAGTTTCACTTAAAGGCCTGTTTGTTACGTTACTTAAGATACAGTTCTGTACATATGAAACTTTAAACATTTAACGCAAGGTTTTCATTTCACACAGGACTTTCTGTGTGAAAGTCCTGTGGGACATATACGTCATTAAGATGTGAATACATAAGTGACGTGAACATAGGCTCAAATACATGTGACACGTGTTTGTCATATGCACTTTAGTTTAATGTGAGCGCATTGTTTAGGAACCAGGCTGCATATAAACTGATGCTATAAAGCAAACAGATGTGGACTGTGCTCTATGTTGCCACAAGAAATGAACGAACTCGACCAACAGGACATGATACAAGATGTTTGCTAAAAGACTTTAATTAAATTGCTGCCATTTAAAATTGAAAAAGTGAAACTGTGTTTCCATTCTTTCATGACTGTTTGTATTGTTTTCTGCCTCAGTAATTCAAGTATTCAGTAGTATGCATTAGGAACACAGTGCACCTTTGAAGAGACTTGCAAGCCTGTTTTAGTAGCAGTTATAGAGTATTGGGTTGGATTTGTAAGGTGTGTCAGTGCTTCAAACACGTTTTACTCAGTGCATATGACATCTCCTCTCATTAGTCAATTTTCCGTTATCATTCTTAGTATTAGGTGTTAGTTCTTCACTTTTACATTACCTACCCAGATATTTTGCGAAACCAGTCACGCAACCACCACCTAGACATTATAGAAACTGCAAAACATTAACACGATTCTAACTTCTGCTGTTCCAAAGCATTGAATCATCACATATTGTAGATCAGCATCAATGTCGCATGACGACTATTTAGGAAAATATAGTTGTTTTTATTTTTTGTTTGTTTGGGAGCAAAAATAATTATATTGAGTATCAGATCAAATATTCAACACTGTTACACTGGAATCAGTTAAACATCCTGTTTGTCATGTATGTGCATCTTGACCTGGTAAATAGCAGCCAGTTGTGTTGTTGTGCTGTTTGCTCTGTGATGACTTGTGCTTTTATTTTTTTGTGCCAGCTGATTAAAAGCGGGTGCTGACATTTTGACTATTGGTCTGTTGTTTTCCCCCTAATACACCTAGCACAATAACATTTCAAAACAGTTCATGAATTTAACTTCTCTCAGTAACCAATCAAATGCAGCAGTCACATGGATTGCATGTATTAGATTGGCTTTTAATGGAACAAAGTAGGTAACATATACGTATCTTCACAACAAGAGACTAAAACCTAGATATATTTCAAAATGAGTGCCATCATTTGGTGGTTTTTCTCCGGGAGCGGTGGATTCTTGCAAATGTCATTAGGAGCAAAGGATTATCTTATCTACCTCTGATAGTGACAGTTTGAGCAGATATGATGCTGAAGTCATTTTTATTAAAGTTACCAGCTGAAGCTTTAAGTTTAAAAGTGCGAAGGTTCAAATATCTGACATCTCAATTCAGTAATCACTTCAGCGCCAACTACTGAGTTTGTTAAGAAACGTCCAATCAGAAGATTTCAAATGCTGTTGCTGTGTTGGTTATTGCAGACAGAACTTAGAGTCTGATTAGTAAATTGAATTAACTCACTGTTTTAGCAATCATTTTTGAACAATTCAGTGAATAGAATGGAATTTAATCTCCCAAACTGTCAAAACAATCTCATTTCTGAGGAATAAAATTGAAATGCAGTATTTTTATTCATCGCCATTACACCACCTAATAATATTGTTGAATTACCCAGGAGGTTTACAATGGGCAGAATACTGACTCCATCCCATTTGCTCGGTATTGATGTAGCTTCAATCCATCCTGTGGACCTTTTTCAGACGACTCTGTGGGGTTAACGTTGGTCTTCTAGTGGGTGTCAAAGCCTCAGTGTGGGGCCTTACCTGGGTATTTGCCCCCGCGACTCCTCTTGATGAAGCAGACGATGAGGAGGATCAGTATAATGAGGGCGATGGCACACATCAGGCCAATGAACCAGCCTTGAGTGGCTATGTCTACCTGGTCTATGTAGGCTGGAGGCACATATACACACAGGGGAAAAGAAAGAAGAGGGGAATCACAGTGAGTGCTTTTCAGGACCACAATGAGTCCGAAGCTAACACATCAGACAAGCTGTTTTCATCGCAGAGTACTCGGCAGAAGTCAACAACTCAGAACCAACATCTCATTATTGGCCCTGAGCTCATATCCAGTATCTCTAGCAATAATGTGTTTGTCTTCTTTCCCATTACACAGTGTGTGGATTTGAGGTGGGGTACAAGGGTTTGTGGTGTGAAAATAATTGTTCCCAGAAAGAATTTCAGTACAACCTAAAAGAACACACCTTCTTTGACAGCTGCCAGACATTCTAACTCTGAAATGTTACAGATATTTAGATCTTAAGGTGCACATCAGTATATTCAGCTTATACTTGTTATTTTACTCATTACGTGCATGGAAACTAATCAAAGAGGAACCAGGAGGTACATTTGTGAACAATATGAGCATTTACCTGTCAGAAGAGAACATGTGAGTTGTGATAATTCACAAAGTTCCATCTCACAGGAACGCTACTTTTACTTCCACTCGTGCATTAGATACTGCTCATAAAGACAACCAAGTCAAAGTTGATGACATCCAAAAATAGAAGTCTTATCCTGACTCACTTGAGTTTACCTTTAGGAGAACATGCATGGAAACAAAAAAAACAAACCATAATAACTCACCCAGCTTTGACTGAGTTACCGTAGAAACGACTACTGTAAGACTTGCACCCAGAGTAGCCCACCTGGCTGGAACCCCGGTTCCACCTGGCCAGATGGGGCCTCACCTGGTTTGGTCTTAAAGATGAACGATTTGCTGCTGATGCTGTTGAGCTCATGGGAGTAAACCCTCAGTTGGTACTTGGCGCCTGCGATCAGATCTGCCACTGAAACGGGGGGCTGCTGTTTCACCGGTACAACTTTCACCGACTTGTCGCCTTGAAGACACAAGAAAGGGGCCAATCACACTCGAGGGGGTGTGGCCTTCGTTCCACAGTAAAGGCTGCGCTGACTAGCAAAAGTCATGGCATCACGATGCTATGCTGAGAGACTGGTTTCAGTCAGAGCAGGGTCACTGAAGTGAATTGAGACTGATAACAATGCAGTGACCATCCCCATCATTAAGATCTGACTCTTTACAGTTTAGAAGCGTACCCATGGTGTGGTTTAGTACGTCTAGCCATTATGTATGAGGTGGAACTCTTTGAAGCTCAGTGCTGCTGACACATTCTGGTTCAATTTACTCTTTTATGGCTATATTTTCTCTCAAGGGCAAAGTTCTCCAGAAATCTGAAAATGAGAATGGAAGAATAGAGGCTCAAGGAGCAGGTGTTCCTCCAGGCAAACCCACTACACTGTGGACTTCAGAGTCTCACACAACCAAACCGGGTAGAATTGAAATTCTCCATTCACCAACTTGGGTAATGTGAGGGTCGAAGGTGGCAAAGCATTGTTTTGTCTCAATCATTTACAGGCCCACACTTATCTCCATGAGGACAAAACAAAAACAACAGCAACCTGCATCTTTCCTGTGGAAAGATGTGTTGGCCATGACATGGCTGAGCTATGAGCATGACTCTGAGGTTGCAGTGAGAGGAAGGGGCAGCACGAGGTGGTGACGTCATGCACCATGCTGTCAACCATTCGTCAAGGTTGACGTCATCTAACAGAACTCATTCCAAAGCCATGCTGTTATCACCAGCCCTAAAACCAGCCAAGCAAAACGTCTAATGCAGACACCAGAGAAGACATGCCAGTCCTTTTTTTACATACTTATTCAATGTAGTGCTATGAGTGAAGCCAAGGTTGAGGTTTTGTATTGTAAACACAGCATGGTGATCTTTATGTTTTTAATTGAAAGCAAAAATGATTCAAATGTCTTTTTTGAGTGACCATTACTGAAAGTTACATTGTTCTAAAACTTTAGTGGTTTAATAACGAGTAATAGAAGCAAGAAAGTCCACGAAGGGTGGGTGGGAGTGGTAAATGAGACTTTACTAGACTGCTTAGCTACTGTCAATAGAACTCAAAACTGTCTGCAGATGTTTACGATGAAAAGTGCAACAGGAACAGGATGAGTTATGCCCTTTGAGCAGCTGGAAGGATTTCAATGTGAAATATACGTGCAGCAAAAGTGGGCATAATTTCAGTTTAATTTATGGTAGCTTGAAAAAAATCTGTTGTCATACCCATGGATTAGGCTGTGAAATGTCCTTCATCCTGAATTTATTAAGAAACAGCCAAACGTGGAGGATGTGTTCAACAGATCAGCAACTTAAATAAGTTTAAATATATTGATAAAACAGGGGAAATTAGAAATATGTGAAATGCCAGTGATATCTAGCTTGTTTCAGATAACGCACGGTTCTCTATGTAGTTCAAATAAAATAATAAACAAATGCTGCGGCCACTAGGCCTTTATTTATTCACTGGGCCACTGTGGCTCAGTAGTAGAGCAGGGTCGTCCTTCAATCAGAGGATCGGTGGTTTGATCCCCGGCTCCACTAGTCCATGTCCATGTGTGCTTGGGCAAGACACTCAACCCCGAATCGCTCCCGTAGCTGTTCCTACGGTGTATGAATGTGTATGAATGTTAGAGTCCTGATGGTCAGGAATGGGTGTGAATGGGTGAATGATGACATGTAGTGTTAAAGTGGTCGGAAGACTAGAAAAGCGCTTGGTTAAATCAAACATTAAATGAACTTTGGTCACACTTGGGATTCAATTCAAGAAGCTCACTTTTACTGCGTCAAGACAGTTTTTTGAAAATATCAAAGTTAGAATATAAATATGTAGCGGCCTATACATGGACACAGTTTTCTGTTTTATGCCACCGAAGCATCATCCTAAACCCTCCTCTGACAGACATGCAGAGACTTCTGCATCACAGTCAGGGAGACGGGGAGGATGAGGAGATGATGATGGGAGGTGGGGGAGTGTCACAGGCCTCCTGCTACTCTTCACTTAGAGTCAAAGCTTTCAGATTTGACCTTGGAGAGCAGGGGATGGGTGGGAGGGGTGGGTACCATTAGATCAGTCTCATCATCCCCCTCTCCTCCCTCCCTCTCTCTTTCTATTCACATTCAGATATCATTAGGAATTAAAGCCGCTCCCCAAGTACATGAAAAATACATCCTCCCTTGTTTCCATTCTTAATCAAAGATCACAGACTGTTGAATTGGTAGAGAGCAATAACAGAGAGCCTATAAGTGATGGACTATCCAATCTCAACCAGTCCTGGGATTCCAGAAATGGAGGGATGATGTGTTTTAAAAAAGCAAGACTTCAAGAGTGCTCAACACCCAATCCAAAGCAAAAAGCAAGTGATTATGGAAGCGTGGATGGCCAAAGAAGTGATACATTCAAACAGCATTTCAGACAAAGCAAGCCGAGCAACTCATTCACAGGGCACAGGAGCCATTGGAAGCCAGGCAGCGTGTTGAAAGAAACCATTGTGATGGAGCACTGCACAGGAAGGTAGTAGTGACATGACGATCAACATTTCCCAACATATAAAGACCAGACAGAGATAGAAAGAGAGAAAGACACACAGAAACACAGACTGTGGTATGTTGTGGCTTCTGCTTTTTTAAACAGATCGAAACGTCAGCCTTTTAAAGTGCAAACATCACATCCTTCAATAAAAAGTAAAACAACAGGCCAACGGAGCAGCAGCTACTGCTGCTGCTGTTAAAGGCCATCTCTGGTGACATTCTTTGGGCGTGAATGGGTGTTATCAGCGGCTACCGCTACCGTTGTAATGCTGCAGACGAACCAAACTGTCACCATGATGTGAAAGTGAAAATTAACATTTTGAGTTGAAACAAAACAACTTTGGGTTTAGGCAATAAAACTTCTTGGTTAAGTTTAGGAAAAGATAGTGGGTTTGGTTCAAATAAATACTTCGGAATTTATGAAAAAAAACTACAGTATAATAACAGGCCGACTTTTGGTTTAACATGGGACACGTACCGCAGTTTCCTGGGTGAAAGTCCTGTATTGGCCCTGACCGCAGTCCCATATGGACTTTGTTGGTCTTCATACTACCTCACATGACATCGCCCTCGTCTTCTTGTATCAGTGATCAATCATGTGAATCGATGATAATGGTCTTCTGAATCTACTTGTAGGTGTAGCAGGTCTAAACCATATTTCTATGAGGCTGACCACCAATAACGCCCATTGTGATGACATTGGAAGCAGGTGTCCTCTGTTTCCTCTGAATGCTTTGGCCTCATCACTTGCTTGTCTTGTCAGCAAAACAAGCTCTCCATTAAGGTTGCTTTGGTAAGACAAGGACACATTTCAGCAAAACCCCCAGAGCAAGGAATTTTGGGGTAACAAAAACCTGCCATTGAGGTGTAATAGAAGTCTGTACGAAAAAAATAAGGCATCAATTATTTAATGAGAAGGCCTCTGAATCATTCTTTAGTTTTTTCCATTATTTCATATTGTAATCGTAATCAAATTCTGCTGCTAACAGGAATGAATTTCATTCAAGAGGGAATGGGGCCAGATGATGACATTTCCGTCTAGTGGGGATTTCTGTGAATAAAGTTGAACTGAAACAGTGGGCTCAAGTGCTGCTGTAGATCAAGGTGTCTTTCACATCCTGTCACTTCTCTAATCCCCAGCAATGAAAAAGATTAAACAAATCTAGTTTTTGTCAAACACTGGATTTTGTTAGTCGCTAAAAGTGAAATTATAAATGATCAGCTCTTTCAAAGCTGCATTAATCAGGTTGGGTTTATTTGCCACTTTGGGACAGAACCCCAAAACAAGCTAAAGATCACGCAAATTTGGCATATTGTGGTCTTGTAAAGTTGACATGGCTAACGTGTGTCGCAAAGACTTTTTACACGCCCCGGAAACAACCGTGAGAATAAACCAAACAGTAAAGTTGAGGGCCTGACTACCAAAGCAGTCGGTTGAAAGGTGCTACAATGCTCTATAGCTGATGGGAACTGAAGAGTTGGGTTCATTACTACAACCAGAAAAACACCATCATACACAGTCATTTGGCCCATTGTTGATATAAAAGATGTTGATAGTGCGGCTTTAAAATGAGAGCTGGTCAAGTCTAAAACCTACCAAAACTAGTAGATTCTCATTAGTGTCCCGATCTTTTCATAAATTTGAGATCTGTTTTGCCTGATCTTTGAAATATTGTCCTTTGTCTGCTCCTGCTCCTTTTGACTTTTTATCTCACTACCCTGTCTCTTTTAGCCTTTAATAAAGAAGTTCAGATCTAGCTCTTGCTTTAGCTCAATGTAGGCTTGGTCTGGTTTCTTACTGTCCAGTGTGAACTCTAGCACAAACTCGCTGCTGCCGGCCGGGAAGTTGTGTCTCCAGCTGACGTTAGTGTAGTTACTGTTAGACTCCACCGTCACATTCCAGATCTCCCGCCCACGGCCCACTACACAAGGGGGAGGGGTCAGGGGTAAAGGGTTAAAGGTCAGGGGCAAAGGGCAGAGATTGCACAGTTACAACAACCATAAACAGGGCTCTATTTAGACCTATGCATGGTGCTAGCACTAAGGGAGTCTATCTACAGGAATGATCATCCAGATCATGGTCTTCTCAAAACCCAAGTAAATGTTATATGTTCATGGACAGAAAATTCCCCCATGAGAAAATTCCAGAGGATTTTTCAGTTCATGAAACATTTAATTGCAATGCTTACTTCTGGTTCAGAGTGGACTAAAAACTAAAAAGAAAAAGATGAGCTCTGCCAATATCACAACCCTCATCACTCTAAAGTGTTGAAGGGTACTTTCTCCAAGACCTTTACACTTATCAACATCCATTCAATCATAAAGAAAAGTTTGGATTCTCACTTCCTGACCAGGAGGATAGTTGCTGGCTACATCCCAATATTCTGAAGTAATTCCCCACTCTTTGTACGGTAGGTACAGCACAGCTTATCGGAATGCAGCCCTGATGTAGTCTCCTGTTTGGTCAGGTGGGAGAAGACAATTGTCTTTTGATATCTATGAAGCCATTCATGGTCAACTAAAAATATTAGAAAGACAATAGAAACGATAGTGGGACAACAGCATGTACCCAACACATTCTGATCGGTACGCTTGAAGGTGACCAGCTCAGGAGTTGTGGTGGTTGTGGACGCCTCGGTTGTAGTGGCAGTAGTGGTAGAAGGAGTAGTAGTAGCAGTAGTAGTAGTAGAAGTCGGAGTTGTCGGAGTGGCAGAAGTTGAGGTACTAATGGTTGTAGGAGCGATGGTAGTAGGAGTAAGAGGAGCAAGAGGAGAAGGAGTAGGAGAGAAAGCTGAAGCCACGGACGCATCCGTAAGCTCGACTACAATGGAGGAGGAGGGAGAGAGCAGAGGGTTAAAGACAAGGCAGCAGGAACATCAAACAGGCACACACACACAGTGACACACGAGAGGGAGTCCACACAAGCAGCATCACACGCTTCACTAAGGCACCATGAGTCAATAAATGATCACAGTATTCACATGAGTGTTTCCCACTTCATCTCTGCTGGGATCCACACACACTTCATCACTGTCCTGCAGGGACCTAGCATCCACTGCCACCAAGAGGACAGATGCTGATATTACAACATATCGCTGGGTTTCCTTGAAGGAGCATACTGTATTTAATAAGAGCTGGTTTGGAGAATGCCAAACTGTTTCATCAAGTATTTGTGTTGCATTTAAAGGGGCCCCCCACTGGTGAATTATATATATGTCAGTTTACTCATTATGGGAAGTACTACTCAGCCTGAGACAGAGAGAGTTGGTTAGATCTCTGGAGAAGCCACAAGAACTTGACTAGAATCGACTGGACTTTGTAATATCTGAGAGAACAACCCCTGATGATGTCATCGGGGTTTGCCTCGGTGCTGATGATGTCATCTGGGGTTACCTCAACTTGGACTTTAAGACTATGTTGGGAGTTGGGAAAAGTGTCAGATATCGAAAATGGCACTAACTCAGGTCTTTTTTACTTGCTGTCTGATTAAATAGTAACCAATTTAACTTGTGATTTTCATAAATTGAAGACAAAAAAGAATGCATCCAGCCCTGGTCTTATCTATCTTGTGACTTTTGTGACACTATGGTGCACTCTTGTGGGGGTCAGGCTCCGCTCAGGTTGAGAACCAGTACATCATTTTCCACTTTAAGTGCTGTTCACTCCTACAGTACCGTGAAGTTGAGGTCATCTCCAGCCAGTTAAAGGGCCCATTACTGATCTGATGGCCCCAACCCCAACATTTCCATCATATATCAGCCTCAAACACCCGGCCAGCATGCTTGTATCACCAAGCCAGATGCCAAGCATGACCTCAGACCGCCATGCGATGGAAAGAGAAAGTACGACGGGATGATGGGAACATCAGCATGTGCAGGAGCCGTTACAGCCCCGTGAGGTAAGCCTATTCAGCCCAAAGCTCCAAACAGCCTTACCTGTAATCCTCAGTACTGGATGTAGAAATGGACCAAATGAACAGTAGCAGTGGACAAAGATGGCAGAGTGACGTGACTTATGAGAAAAGCTCAGAAGCGAGGTGATCAAGCCGATGAGTGAGGGCACAAGCCAAGTGCTGATGTTTTGTTTGTGCCCAGCACACTCAACAAGTCACATCATTCCTCAAAATGTGACATGTTGATGCATCCTCCCATCCACACACACGCACACTCCCTAAACAGCAGTGTCATCATGACATTGTATCCAATGACGATGACTGAAGAACAAAACGCATTAGCCGCTACACAGGGCTAAGTTGCGTGTCATGGCAGACAGGAAGAGGGCGTCGAGAGATAGCATTGTACAGGTGCGCCATCAGGGATCGGTTCAGGAAGGTTAACGGTCAACATAAATACAAATGGCTTGAGGCAGGATTCTACAGCAGGTATCAGGGGGATTATATAGTAGAATATGATGCCAAAGATTTGTGAAATATGTGTTATGATGGTTCTGATATGTTTCATTTTCAAAAAACTAACTGTGTGCATCATAGAGGGAAACCTGAGCATGTTGAGTGTTCTTCAATCCCTGACAGCACACAGCAGCAGGTAACCAGCAGCTTTACACACAGGGGGAGGATGGAGAGGTGATGAAGATGAAAGGAAGAAAATGGAGCGTAGACAGCAGTTCAGTCCAATAGCAACAACACATATCATTTTTGATTTGCGTTTTGATTTTGAGTTGCTTAAACAGACCTAGAAATGCATACCTTATTATTATTTTTGACTTTTTAAAGTGCGTTTGAACTAATCTAAATCGGAAAAACAATACATTAATCAACTATAAAATAACTATTAGATGTGATTGAGTCATTTTTGACATCAACCTCTACAAGTACTTCATGTCTACCGATCACCCAATCAGTTCGCAATCTTGAATTGGAAATAGTTTGAGAACCAACTAAAGGTCCAACACTCATCTGAGCATCTGTTGTATCACTGTTTAACTAGTGAGCCTGCACGTCAACATATCTATATCCATAACTCAGTCTAGTTGTGTCGAACATTTTACAATTTCAGAAAATCCTTCATTACTTAGTTTTGTAAATTTGGTCGTCGTAGTGTTAATCCTCATTTAAGAACATCTGTCACTCAATAAAGTGATGGCCGGATGATTGATTGTGCCTTGAAGCTTTCATTGTTAACGTTAATGGTGAATGAAAAAGCCAATATCCAGTCATGGAATAGCTTCCTGTAGGGTACCATACACAGGCCTTGCATAGAAAAAAAAAAAAACAATATATATGATTATGTAAAAGTAGTTATCCCTCTGTTGCCCACCAGAGTGAGCTGCAGGGTAGTGCACTTCAGTGGATAATAGAAGGTGAAGGTGGACTGCACTGCTGCTCAGTGTTAAGATGGACAGATAGAGATATGGAGGGTGGGGGAAAGGTGGCAGGCACACTGCACTTCTCATTCATTACCTAGAGCTGTAGGATCAGTAAGGTTTTCTGCCAACAAAAAGAGAGGTGGAAACAGGAGACAGGGGAGAGGTGTAAGAAAGACACAGAGGGACAACAAGCACAAGACAGCAGCTAGAAGGTTCTCATTCACCACTGATGGTAGTCTGTTAAGGTTCACAGTGTATGCCTCCGTCAGACTTCTGTTTGGAACTATACTTTCTACTGAAGAAACAGTTCTGATCAAAATTGCTCACAGTAACGTCTAATTAATGATGTGCTAACGTACTCTGCTAATGTTAGCTTCACAGGTTTTTAGTTAGAAAAGTACCTCTCTGGTAACAAATACTAGTATTACACCAATGTCTCCAAAATGTATTCTATTGTTGCTCACACCAAAGAACAAGCTTTAATTTCTAAGTGATCTAATTAGTTACAGATGTTTTCACAGGTGCATTCGAGGTGCAGGTGATTGATAATCAATTGATTGATAAGTGTGGTATTTCAATGTTTAGCAGACAACACACAAAGGCTTTTAGTTTTGAGTAAGTATAATGTATAACAGCGTGTAGATATTTTCAAGTCAAACTTAGTGTAAAGCAGACATTGTGCTTATAGTTAAACACGGCTGGTCCATAGAGAGGTTACATGAGTTAGTGCCTTCTATAATTGTGCCACAAGTACCATTTTCTGTGTCTTGGCAATTGCAAAAAGCTGTGAAACAACCTTTCAGGTGATTCATTCATGACTAAAATGTTTGCAAATGTTGATAACTCCTCTGATCCAGCTGTGTCTCAATGTGTGTGTATGTACGTGAGTCACACTGATAATGTCATCCATCAAAGAAAGAGCAGTTATCTCTCCATCTGATACCCTAACAAAGAGGCCTGTGTTCAAGGGCAACGATCTCATTTTCTTTCTACTCCTATGCCTCCGTTTCTCTTACACACAGTGATTCTCATTATATAGACGCACTATGGAAGACCGACCTGGTTTCTATGCAGAGAAAAAGGGCTAGTAATTGTGTAATTACACAGTAAAAGACACAATGCAGCAGAGTGAAGGTTCAGAGTTAGGAGACAACGTTGGACACACTGTGTTGAAGGGACAATTCCAGTAAGTGGTAAACAGGGTCAGACATGATCTTGTTGAACTTCTAAATATCTAAATCTATAATCTAGTTCAAGGCCAATTTCAACTTGATGAGTGTAGTGAAACGTGTTCAAGGATATGCATTAAATGTGTTGTAACTCTGTTGTGCTTTTCGTTCTGTACACTCTCTCTAAGGTTTTTTCCTTTTTTTCCTCCCCGTTAAAGGTTTTTTTGGAGAGTTTTTCCTGTTCCGGTGTGAGGGTCCTGGGACAGGGGATGTCGTATGTGTACAGATTGTAAAGCCCTCTGAAGTAAATTTGCGATTTGGGATTTTGGGCTAACAAACATAAATTGAATTGAATTGAATTGAATATGATTTGATTCTTACTGCCTCTCATCACCGTCCAACTTCCCTACTCTGTCTGTAGCTTTCAACCCCCATTGGATCCTTCTGAAGACATTTTTTTTTTAAACTCAAAAATACATAGTTTCATTTTTACAAAGGACTCAGTCCTTTTCTAAGACAGCTGGACACGATGGAGTTCTCCATGTGAACGATGGAGTTCTATGACTGTGAATTAGATATATCTGGCTATGGCCATTCATTATTGGTTTGGGTCTTTTCATGGGATTTGTCGACAATAAGAAAAATATAGGTCACTGCCTCATCCTCATCATTTAAAATCAATGGCTAAAATATATACAGTAAGAAAAGTGGTGGGCTGATCGACTATTAAATGTGAGGTGATATTTTCTGTCACTGGCTATAATGTAAACATTGGTGAATTTTGGTGATTATGATGCCTCTCAACAAGATTTTTCAATTTTTCTTTGGGATGCGCTGAATGTCAGATCTTTTTTGGCAAATAAATTGTCAAATTCTCAAATGTAGAAAGACTCACCTTCATTGGCGAAGTGAGGGGACTCCTCAGCATAGACCACCCCTGCTCCCACCTGGGTGAACGCTGACAGGTAGAATTTGTAGCGGGTGGATCGGTCCGGCAGGCGGAGGGTGAACTCTGTCACATTAGGGGGGAGAGTCTCCAACTGGGCACGACCCACTCTGGAGCCATTGACTGCACACACACACACACACACACACACACACACACACACACACACACACACACACACACACACACATTCACAGAAGAATGACAGAGAGGGACAGATGGGTTGGCTTGCTATCACAATTATTCCCAATTAATCTGGGGGAGTCTTGTACTGCTGCAACTATAGACTTCCTCCTTACAGAAATTCCATCTGACTGACAACATATGAGCAGCACTTTCACAATGCAGTGGCTGAATACAACAGACATTTTGAGTGCATTCACCTTCATTGGCAACAGGGTTAAACTGTTTTGGGTCAAGCCTTTCTGATTGTATTGTGTTGCAGAGCTGCGTGGTGCAAATACAACTTACTCAAATAAAAACTATAAAACAAAGCAAATCCCTCAAAAGAGATATGAGCCCTAGTTATACTTTACTTTATTTATAGTAGTTCTGTTTATAATACTTTTTGGAGTCAATTTGGAGGAAGCAATCTACATGCACAGTAGATTGCTATCCTACCACTTTTAGTGTTGGGGCAATGCGTGTGATCACAACAAATTGGTGCAACGCGGATGTCCGAGCACTGAATCTTCACGTACACCCTCTGATGACTACATTTACATCACCTGGATCCTAAAGGACCCTCATGGAACTTCGCACACTCACAAGTATAACATAGGCATTACAGGTCATAATGTTCAAGCAAATCATCACCAAGTGGAAGCACCAAGTTAAAAAATGCTTTCTGTCTGAAGGTTTGAAAGGTACCCTTGTGTGAATACCTTTGGTTTGAGAGGATCAGAGCAGCTCACCTGTCTGGTACTTGAGCTGGTATCCAATCAGAATGCCGTTGGGCTCCAGAGGTTTGTCCCATTCAAGGTGGACGGTGTCAAAAGTTCTCCGGTTAATACTGAAAAACTTCGGAGCATCTGGCACTACAAACACACAAAACAGTTTTACTGTTGATTGTTCAACAACATGAATAGATATTAGAGATGAATTATGAACTGTTTAACTTCCTAACAATAGCTCTAAGGAGCTTATAACACATCAGTAAGACTACTAATGAATCTGAATTGAGTGTTTTATGCAGATAACCAATATATTTCTTGAACAAAGTAGAAGGATAATATTAGAATTGTTGACGGTTTACATTGACTTCGGGGCAGTTGAAATTATTTCTTTGGATGGTGGTGCTAAAACATAGTCTGGAGGCGTTGTAGACCAGCTGCTGAACAAAACAAAACAACTACAAAAACAATAATCGGCACACCTCTAAAAATTACAATCTGAACCATGATTCTTGTGAGCCATTGCACCCCTACTCTTAGGTATATTAGTTTACGAGGGCCTTGTCCTCACCTCCCTCCTTGGTGGTGACCTCCACCGTGTTGCTGGGTGGACCCTCAAAGAGGTTGTTGGTCACAACCAGGAACATCTTGTATTTCGAGTAGGACACCAGGTCGCTGAGGATGCCTGACGGCTCAGCCACGATGCTGTAGAAACCTTTGGTCTTCTTCTCCTTACTAACCATCAGACCCGGAACCAGACTGGACTCACGCCAGTAGTACAGCTGAAAAGTAGAAGGATGAGAAAGTGGTCAGTGGGAAAACAGTGCAGAAGAGGGTGACGAGATTAATTAAACCGGAGAAATAGTCAGCAAACTGAGGATCTATTTTCAGAATAACTCTGCAGTAACTTCATTATCATTACAAAAAGTACACAGCCAGTCTCACTCTGTACTCCTTGAACTCTCCCTGCACAGAGCTCAGGTCCACGGGCTTCCAGTGCAAGTTGGCCTTGGTGCTGTCAACCTTTGACACCCTCAGGTCAGTGGGAGCGTCGGTGGGCTCTGAACACACAAAAAGGGACAAAGTATGTGTGAATAGTCGGAAAGGTTAAGCTCTGTTTATGCAGGAAGAAGAATAAATGACTTTCAAATCAAAGTGAAAAGATTCACTGATGACATTGTGAGAGGTTTAATCTGGTACTCTCTTTCCCAAACAAATACCCATTGTGTCTCTACTCACTGTCCTCTCCAGAGTATCCAACGACCACATTAGACTCAGGTCCTTGTCCAAACTCATTCCTGGCCTGGACTTTGATCTCGTAAGGCACGTAGGTCTCTGTGTTGTGGACGACATGTTTGGACCCAAACGTGGACATGTTACTCCACCCCTCTCCCAAATCCTTCCGTCTCCACCACACGCTGTAGTGCAGGTTTGGCCCGTTCCTCTCCAGATCAAGCAGAGGCTGGAGAAAACAAGACAAGAAGCTGACTGTGAAACGCACACTGACTGAAAGTAAGATTTACTTTGGGTTTGTTTTCACTTGTAAGACATGAAAAGAACATAACGCCCAACCACTCAATCCAAACTGCTGCTCTTCTCACTTACAAAATATTACTATTTGAACTACTTGGTTTTATAAACAGTTCCATCTACGATCATGATTGATGTATTCATGAATTCAACAGGAATCTCACAAGTTGTAATGTCCTGCCTTGTACATGTCTTACCTCCCAGGTGATCTCCATATTGTCCTTCTTGGATCCCCATCCTCGTAGACCTCTGGGGATGGCATCTGGGGCTGGATGTAACATAATGAAATTCACTCAGATTGAACAACATCAACTGCAACTAATCCCATGTCCTCAGGCACAGAGTTGTGTTAACACCACCTGACAAACCTGAAGCTTACTGGCCAGTTGTCTTTAACTGCTACTTTTACTTTAAAGCAAGGGGCTACAAACTACACATCCAGCCCATGTGACAATCTCATAGGGCCCTCCCATGGGTTTAGAATGTATTCTTTCATTAGGTCGACAATTTAATACTTGGTTTTTTTGTTCCTATTTTGGTTGTCCCTTAAGTGTTTCCGATAAGATAAGATAAAACATGATACGATGCAATGCGATAAAATAAGGTATGATGAGATAAGCCTTTATTGATTGGTGTCGCAACAGCACAAGGACAGAAATAGCACAGATAATTAAAGAAAGGTTTAAAAGTAAAAAGGATAGTACAGGATATGAAGTATAAACAATATTAAATCAAAATACAAACTATAAATGAGCAATTACACTGAACATTATAAGGCAAACAATCATTATATGTATCATACCCAGACCAGAGTTGTAAACTCTTAAATTAACAGTGAAATATCGTCTCGAGGTAGGTAACTTAGTGGTGTGGTTAGTTGCAGCAAAGTCAGCAAATATATGTGTATATGAAGAGTAATATGAGACTCTTAACTATAACGGCATACACCAGAATAGTATACAATATGACTATGTAATTAAAACAGTATGAGCATTGTATATATATATATATATATATATATATATAACATATATATTTTGAGTAATTCATTTATTTTCTAACAGGGCTGCATGATGAGAGCATAATAATTGGCTATATATTTCAAATTTATGATGGAGTTTGTTTTTTCTACTTCCATGTTTCAGTGGCTCCAGCTAGGAGACAACAACCTGGCCCCCAGGTCATTTGAGTCCTACAGGCTGAACAGTTCCACTACGTCTAATCAAATGTTTTCTTACAAGATGTAGGTAGGTTGTCGTGACCTGAAGACAGTCCTTCAGTCAACAAAGTCATCATTTTTAAGTAAAGTACCTGAAATGTTCTTGATGTGGTGGTACATAAATTACACTTGTGAGTGTGTGTGGTGCTCCTCACCAGCTCCACTGGTTTTGTACCGTGGCGAGGGCCGGCTGGGCTGACTCTGGCCCACTGCGTTGATGGCGGTGACCCTGAACTGGTAATTGACAAAGGGGGCGAGCTGCAGGATGACAGAGTTGAGGTCCCCGGGGTATGTGGACAGGTCCTGCCACCTGCCCGGCTCCCAGCGGTCCTCCTCAAATTGGACCAGGAATTCTGCCGAGACAACACAACTGGCGTGAGGATAGGCAGACCACTTATTGTTAAGGCAGAGGAGATCGTGGGGGTTTCATGTAGTCCTTGAAGGCGTTCAGCAGGTAGGAAGGTCGGTAGGGTCTCCTGCAGCTTCTAGTTTAATGACCCTGTTACATTCATTTTACAACCCTCTATTTCTGCATGCCTTCATTATCATTTCTTTCCTGAGCTTGGAGACCTGGGACGAACGCTTTCACATAAACAAATCAGGCCTGTGTATGAAAAATTTAGAGAGAAATGTGAGGATGCAAGAGTAATACAACCCCCTTCCAGGATGTCCAGGAAAACAAGAAGTGAGTGTGTGTATATACTGACCCGTGACTGGGCTCCGGTGGTCGTTTCCGGGGATCCAGGTGAGGCGAACGCTGCGGGCTGCGGGGTCTGACAGATCCAGATCCATGGGAGGGTCTGAGCGGTCTGCAGAGAAACAGGGAATAACCTGACCTTAGACATGGAAAAAAGACATACAAACACACATACACACAACCATAGGCATGCAGCAACACTCATACTGTACAATGTCATCTATCCTGGTCATCAGTCAGTCAATTTTAATATAAGATACACTTTATTTAGATTGACAAACTACTTTACAACACCCAATATCACCTTCAAATCTCCTCCCAGTTCACTGTCTGAAAGTTTCAGGAAATGGTAAATACATCGCCCAGTGAAATGAGGACAAATGAGAAAAACTACTCTACTAATAATTTCCACAAACAACTTAGAATGAGTGGGAATGTGGTTCCAAACTGGACAAAACATTGTCAGACTCACTATGAGATTAAATGACTTGATGGGATGTTTTGTGGTGCATGTATGTAAAAATCCATTCGGTATTAAAGACTCCTCTAACACACATACACAGAGACAGAATCATCATTAGCACATGATGAAATAATATCCATTATAACAGTGGTTTAATATAAATAGTGTCATACAGCAGATGCACACGTTTAGATGAGGAAGAGGACAAAAAGTAAAAGAATAAGAAGACAAAGTAAACGGAAGAAAAATGAGGACATGACAGAAAAGAAAAAGAGAGAATTCTACTCGCGCCGTGTGTTACCTGGAGGCAAGGCACTAGAGACTGAGGGGTTGAGGGAGGCTTCCTCTGTGGGGCGAGGTCAAGGACCAGAAAGTGGGTATAAGGGTTAGAGTATGCATGTTAGTCTACCAGCCAGTCAACAGCAGGGGAGCACAATGGTTAACAAGTAATTTAGTACTCACTGTATTAATATAAGTCAGCTTCACTAAGTATTTGTCTTGTAAATTTATGTCTTTAATCTCAGAATGTTTTAATTGTCAGAGTATTGTCCCCCTCCCCTGGCTCCGTTTTTTCTTTTTCTTTTTTGTCCTTCAATGGCCCTAATGGTTATCCTCATATTTACATTTGAGACTTTTGAATTCACAATTAGATTTGAGAATTAGCTAAGAAAATAGATTGAACCAGGAGGTCATTCAATAAAAATAGTGGAGTTTTGAGCCATTTGTCAATTGTGTCTGTTTCTTGACTCAAACAAAATGTACTGCTCAGGAGAGGAAATAATTTTTTCAGAAGATAGGATGAGGCTTTGAAGATTACAAAACATGCCTTAAAAAATGGTCAAAAACAGAGGCGACTGTGACTTACTGACATTAATGAAAAGTCTCAAATGTCAAAACAGGATGTTCAAACTGAGTCCACAATATAGCTTCACTACAGCACTTTCTACACAGCACCATACAGGAGCATCTCCATACGCTGCATGCAAACTGTTGAATCAGTGGGAGTGAGTAGAGTTAAAGCTTAGTAAACTGTTGCAACAATAAAACATGCATGATTTCCATTTGAAGACAGAGCTGAAAAATAGTAGTGTCAAGAGAAGACATTTACAGAAAATATCTACTGAGAAAATATAAAAAGCATTAATACAAAGCAAAAGTAAAAGCATAATAGAGTGTGTGTGTGTGTGTGTGTGTGTGTGTGTGTGTGTGTGTGTGTGTGTGTGTGTGTGTGTGTGTGTGCGTGTGTCTAAGAGGTAAATAACTATAATTATGAAGTGCCGGTACTTGACAATTTTGAGAGACTGCCTTCTTCTCTTTCACTATATTTCAACAACACAGTCACCAGGACGTGGTCATTGTACGTCTAGAACTGCAAACCATCGATACCGTCCCTCAGAGCAAGTGGCGTGATATACCAAGCAACTGTTACTGAAAGTTGGTATAAAAGTTCCGTGGTTAAATAATGAATAAAACAGGTAAACGAGTCCACTAGGAGCGGCAGGGACAGATGATGGAGAGGGCTGTTAGTGCCCTTTGTGAAACCAAAAGCAAACAATGGCTTTACCCTTGTTACATTACTTTTTCACGCTTGTTACACAATGTTACGTAAGAAAGTCTGCTAAGGTTGGTTATTTAGTTATGCTAGTTACTACGCTTGTCATGAAGCATTGTTGTGTTGTATTTGGAACACACACCATGTTATGTTTTCTAACCTTGAACATGTAGGCTAAACCTTTGTCCTTTGTCTTTTGCCTAAACCTAACAAATCATTTCACAATGTTAACCAGGTGGCATTGTGCATTTCTGCGTGAGCGATACGAGGCTGATATGAAATGTGTTCATGAAACATATTTTTGTGTTCTACGAATCTCTTGCAGAAATGTACAATGTCAACATTTTTCCTGGCAGATGTAGTTAGTAGTTTCTTTACACAAAATGGTTTTACATGCAAAATACATAAACTGATACGGTGTCATAGATTATCTATAATTAAATAAGTACTGTGTTTTATTTGGGCTCAGAGAATATCGTATTTTTTAAATAAAACTCCTTTTGAAAATTCAATCTGAATATGCCATTTTCTCCAGGTCCGTTCTCTATATGTGAGTGTACCTAACACCGTGAGGCGGGCTGAGGCTGAGTCCTGGTCTATCTCAGATTTGACAGTGCAGGTGTAGGTTCCCTCGTCCCCCTCGTTCACATTGGGGATGGTCAGTGACTCCTCGTCTTTCCTCAGCCTGGGAGACAAACACAGGGAAGAATTCTGACATCTGTATAAAATCAATCAGTCATTCAATTCTAAAATCAAATAACTGACAAAAAAATGGTATTTCTCATTGTATGAACGTTTTAGCCCTATTTCCTGTCTGAGACAAGTTATTGGTGTGTGTCATAACTCTGAGAACTACCCTGTCTCATACAAAATTACATTCCATACAACTAAACTGAATTTTCATTTCATGCATTGAATGTGACATGAAAAAATCGTATCTTATTTTTCACTTAATAACACTTAAACCACAGACCAATGATCCATTGCTGTCCATTTCTTTTCAGAGGAAATGATAAACATTTACTGTTGTTAAATGATAGCTTAGCTTGGATTATTTTCAATGTTTTGGCTTTACAGGTGCAGGATAGGAGCACCAGAGATGTCTTTGTGTGCCGTTACCTCCAGCCCAGGTAGAGAGGCTTGTCGTCCTTGGTCCAGGCCACAGTGATGGGCAGGCTGGGATCAGACTTCACTTTACAGTCAAAGTGAGCCGTGGAGCCCCTGACGGCCGACCGGCGCTCCGGGGCTCGAACAATACGAGTCGGCTCTGAACGGGAGTGAGGTTGAAGGGGAGCGCATACACACACGCACATTCTTTGTTAACTCGGACACTCAGATGCATCCAGGAAAAATCAGTGACAGGTGTGTGTGATTGCTTGTCAGAGTTGGATGGAACACACTCTTTTCCAAAACGTTCACACAAATATGACTGCAAGGCCACTTTCAACATCTGTTATTCTACCACAGCACCTACAACTTTCTTTTTTCTGTTGAACAAATCTGCCCCGAGTGTACTTTCAGCGATTCGCATTTGCATGCCTCCCACCAACCAATCAGTTTACATCCATGTCTGTCCAAAATGTCATCAATTCATCATTATATCCTGTTAGACACTTGTGTGAAATTGTCATGATTCGGATATGAATTCTTGAGTAGTGGCCCAAAACGTGTTTCGTGACCTTTCGAATCAGTTCTTCCTTGTGTACAGGTTGACTTTTGTGCCAAATTTGAAGAAATTCCCTCTGGGCATTCCTGAGATATTGCGTCCACGAGAATGGACCGGACAGTACGCATGGCTGGACGGACGTACAAATAAGTTTTTAAGTTTTTAAATAAGTTTGAATGGATGTCATTATGCCTCCTGCCACTGCTGTCAACGGTGCAGAGATATGATGACATCCATACACAACTTCTTTGCATTGGCGAATCCGTTTTGTAGTAAATGGGTTAGGGTTAGCTTGTACGTCCATCCATCCACCCTCCATGTACCTCCTCTATACAACGGCTGTGCAGAATAAGAACATCCCACTTCCTGGACCGGGGAAATTGAACGTAATCTCGGCAGCAGATTCTTCTAACACATAATGAACTAACGGATGCTTTCTAAAGATGAGGAGCTCTACTTGCCATTGTACTTGACAAAACATACTGACGAATGAAAATGTATCTCACTGCCTTGGCAGATGAATGCACCTGTTTAAATTGTTTTCAGTTCAGCTCTACCCTGAATGCTAGGATGGGAATACATATGCAGTTTGAATACAAATGTAACTGTTAGTAGACAGAAGTTGAATTAAAGGCACGATCCAACAGTGCAGGCTGTTTGGCACAAGGAAAATAAATCATTTCACATCTTCCACACACATAGTGACATGCAATGGGAGCCCATGTACAACGTCATAAACCCTGTTGGGGCTGATTGTTGCACAATGTATGCTGCACATGATGTAATAGCAACTCATTTGTAGTTGAAACATTACTTTAAGTTTCAGTTTCGCTGTGAGTCTTAACAGCACACCCTGTACAGCAGAGATGTAATGACTGACCTTTGACCTCAAGGCGGACCTGGTTCTCGGCCGTGCCCAGCATGCTGTTGGCCACACAGGTGTAGGTGCCCTCGTCCTCTGCTCGGGCCCGTTTGATCTCCAGGGTGCCGTTGATGTAAACGCGGTACTGACCTCCGTCCAGCCCACTGCCCTGTCCGTTCTTAAACCTGCAAGCACGGACAGCATAGGGGAATATGAATGATAAAGTATAGCTGCATGAATGTTGTGCTCAAGAATACACAGATGTGGGTTTACAGAGGTTGATGCCAAAACCAGTATTAGAGCTGTCGATGCTCACCATCGTAGGTCCGGCAGAGGAGAACCGAAGAAGGGACAGTCGAGGAAGGTGCGGTTGTTCTCGATGACTTTGATCAGCTGGTTTTTAGGGCCCAGCATCCTCGGAGGCATGTCTGCAAGAAGAGGGACAGAGGATGACGCCTTCACCACTACATCACTTACCAGGACTCTGCACGAGTCACAGAGTTTTTAATATTTGTGACAGTGTGACAGTCAGCTAGTGTGCACCATAACTGGTACTGAAGCAGCTATATTGAATTCAGCCTTCTCATTTTATTATCTGTCTGCAACATGTTTAAATATCCTCTGTGTAAAAGGCTTACTAGATTAGAATTAGTTTGTAATCAATTAAAAATTATAAATGTCACATTTTAACCGGTTAAAGTTGAATAGCTGTGTATTCACATACTTTAGGATAAGCATGTTTGCTTTTTTTTTCACAGTAATATTCATTATTAGAAATTGAATCTGCTGAGTCCATGATGTGTTTAGCCTAGTTTAGCATAAAATGTACACATGGAAGACTGCTAGATCAATCAAACCCTGATTATACAGAATGTAAACAGTGTCAAGAGGCTATGAAAATGTGTGTGGATGACTATCGACTTTTGTTCATTCTAATCATTGAAGGAAAACATGCACAGGTTCAGTGGTGATGGAAATATTCTTAAACCAAATGGCCTTGCATTAATATTTCCACAGATAATTCAGGGCTGTAGAGCAAGGCGAGGGCTAAGGCTTACAGACAGATAGGCGACACACCCACTGCTCTGTATACATTTTTGAAATCGACTTCCTCCTCCGTGTCTCACCGAGGACGCTGACGAAGGCGTTGGCCATCAGGTAGCCGTGCTGGTTGGAGGCGTTGCACTGGTAGACAGCGCTGCTTCCCATCTGCACCAAGCGGAACATGATGGTGTCACCGAGCACCTGTCTGCTGGGGCTGTGGGGAGTGCCTGAGGTCAGGGGAGAGGAAAGAAACACATAGCAATAATAGGGAAAGTTACAGAATTCATTTTACACGGATGTCTAGTGAAGACAATATTTGAATTTAAATTGATTTGATTTGAGTGGTTACTTTTGTAGTCTGCTACAGACTTCAGTAAATAAGATCAGAACAGAACCAGGTCCTCATTGTCCTTTTCATTTACTGAAATCTGGCCATTCAGAACAGATTGGTCAGAAAAGCTGGTTGACATAAAGCCGATTTGAATTTGAGAGAGCTGATTGTATAATATAGTGCAACAACTGTAGCGTATGGGTGTAATCAGGCCCCTATTATAACATAGACATGTAAAGACTGTCATCATACCATACTGTCAAATATGTCCCACCACTCACACTCACAGAGCTTTTTAACAAGAACATCTTTAACAAGAACATCTATCAAGCCATCTTCTGAAAAACTGTGGCACAATTTTCAACCTTCAGTTTAATTATATTTTGTAAATAAATGTGGTAATGTTTAAATAGAGCCCAATAATCACAATATTATATAATGAATAGTGTACATTTAACAAAAAATAAAGAACGATAAACAGAACGAAAGGAAAAAAGGAAATAAGTACGACAGACAGACAGATAGAAAGAAAAAAAGAAAGAAAGACAGATAGATGGATAGATGGATAGAAAGAAAGAAGGAAAGACAGATACAGTAGATCGAAAGCAATAGAGAAAGATAGATAGATAGAAAGAAAAAAATAAAGAACAAAAGACAGACAGATGGATAGAAAGAAAGACAGATGAATAGAAAGAAAGAAAGAAAGACAGATAGATAGAAAGAAAGAGAGAAAAACAGATACAGTAGATAGAAAGAAAGAAAAATAGACAGATAGATAGAAAGAAAGAAAGACAGATGAATAGAAAGAAAGAATGAAAGACAGATACAGTAGGTAGAAAGAAATACAGAAAGATAGATAGATAGAAAGAAAGAGAGAAAAACAGACAGATGGAAAGACAGAGGAAAAACAGGTAGAGAGAAAGAAATAGAGAAAGACAGACAGATAGAAAGAAAGAAAAAAGACAGATAGATAGAAAGAAAAAAGACAGAATATATGTACTTTCTATCGGCAGTCCATTGACCAGCCACTGGATGTTGGGTTTGGGGTTGCCGTTGGCCCGACACACCAGAGGGCCGTTCTCCTCCGGAGCGAGCACCAGGTTGAAGGGTTTGTCGAGCCAATAAGGAGCCGCTGTGGAACGCAGGGAGTCAGATGTGCATGATGGACTCAAACACAAACATACATCTGTAGAAACACATAACCAGTGTCACCTCCTCACCTTTGACCTGGACAAAGATGGAGTGGCGTATACTGCCTAGATGGTTGTTAGCCATGCATACATACTCCCCAGCATCCTCCTCTGACACGTTGATTATCTTCAGGGTCTTGTTGTAGTTGTCAAACTTCACCTTTCTCCCTGGCAGGTCCCCACCCTTCTTAAACCATTTGATAGTGGGCGTCGGACTGTATAGGGACAAAGAGGGAAATCCTCACTGTCATTTATTATTATTATTATTATTATTAAAAGGTTGGTCTGGCACTATTGGAACTTGATCAGCTGACAAATTACAGCTCAAACCTCTTCAGTCCAACTACTGAGTAGACTGCAGAGGGACCAAAGGAACACATACTAACTCAATATTTAGAGCCCAGTTGCACTGTTGGGGTTCTATAATGATCGAGGGTCACTGGTGCTGGACAGGAAGAACACATTCAGCATCCAAGTTCTAAGAGTATTCTCCTGTCATGCATCACAGAGGGGACATGGACTACATGGAGATTTGAATCATTTCATTCTTCTTCTATTTCAAATGTAAATCAAACATCTGGTGTCTGAATTATGCAGTTTTTATCTCTGATATGTGTGTGTGTGTGTGTGTGTGTGTGTGTGTGTGTGTGTGTGTGCGTGTGTGTGTGTGTGTGTGTGAGAGAGAGCTCACAGTCCAGCAGCGATACACTCCAGCAGCAGTTGCTCGTCCCGTAGCACCATCTTGGAGCTCTCTGTCCCTGAGGGTGAGAGGAAGGTCGGCGTGGACTCGGCTACTTTACGGCCTGCGGACGAGGAATGAGGGCGGGGTTAACACACGCACAAACAAACACACATTACAGTTTATCTTTGTACCAGGAGCTGAACATCCTATTTGCAGGTACTGCCACATGAACCTAGCACTACAAGTCTGATCGTTTCCATGTGGCTGCGCTCCATCTCCACCAGGCTTCAGCTCTCCCTGCAGTCTGTCGTGAGGCCAAGGCGGTCTGTAAACGGGTTTAACGCCCTCTGGCTTCTCTCACAGGAAGACATTAAGAGATGCAGAACAACAACGGATTTACTGATCTTGCTTTGTGTTTGCCAAGAGAACAGAGATGGCAAAGATTGGCATTGAAAGCTTAAATAAAGCAGCTGATAAAACGTTCTTCTGCTGTGATGAGATGACTTCAACGTGAAGCTGAAGAATATTAAAGTCATGTAGTCGTTATATAACCCCATGTTGAACCTTCCAGCAGGGCTTGGCTAAAGCAAGGAGCAGCATTGGACAGGAACTAGAGCCTTTAGAACAGAACCTTGGTATTGTTTGGAGTTGGCTTTTAGGTTGTGAGGCCTTTAATAATCCACACACACAGTACAGTGACTGGGAGGATCAAATCTATCTTAAACCTCTGATTTCTATTAAATAATCGAGGGTTAGTTTGGCATCAGTGTTGCTTCAGCTTGTTTCTTTTCAACACAAATTGTGAACAAACCATTTGAGCATTAATTAATCAAACAGTCAGTTCAGCTAAGCAGTGTGGGACGTGAGTAAACTGCTAAGTGCTGTCTTTGTTTACTTCAACAACCAAACGCATGTAGCACTTTAATCAGGCACGTAGTTTAGCATGAACTCACCTTTCACGTAAACTACACTCGTGACAAAACTAAGTGTGTCAAATATTATGTCACCTATCGTTTCATTGTTATACTCTGTATGTGGGTGTGCTACACGAGTGCATTTATTTCAACTGTTTTATATTCAGCTCTTCGTTAAACTACTTTAAGTGTTACAATTTACAAACTCATAATTCAACTGTCCAAAGGGCTTGCAGGTCAGCTGCTTTCAGCTCAAACACTTCAACTGACACTTAGATTGTTTCAAATAAACTCTCTTCAACTGCTTTCAGTGCTTCACCTTTCACATGGAAACAGTTAACATGTTCAGACTTTTTAAACTGTAAACCCTTATATTATCTGCAGATGTCATTTTCAGCAAGCCCACCAAGAGAATTTAGTCTCATCTCTGTATTGTTATCTGTTGTAGATGTAGCTTATTATTGCACTGCATATTTAAATAATTCAAAGTTAATTTTGCGAAATGGAACTAAAACTGTAAAGCCTTTCTTTTACTTTCTTACACTTAATCTGGAGGTCAAACTGAGAGTGAAAGTTGATGTAGCAAGTGGCTCTGTAAACTGTGATGGCTATTACAAACAGGCAGTTTAGGTAATAACTCCACATATCACTGCCTGACTGCCAGTGTTTATTCCCTTGTGAAAATAAGATCCAAGTTGTAATAAAACAGAATAATTAAATCTGTACAGGAATACTAGTTTAAATTGCATGAGTTTAGAGTTACACTTTGGTTTGGACACATTTGTGAGGATGACAATGTGCTTAGTGCTCCTAAAGTCTCGGGCCGATCTTGTATTACATCCACTGTATGCAGCATTGGTAATGTTGATTGACTGGTAATTATTTGAAACTACACCACGGAATAAACCAATTAAAAAAACTGCTGCCTTTTAAATCTTATTACACAGACTGATTTGTCTGGTTCTTTGATCATTACTTAAGAGTTCTAGAGAGCACATTTCCAGTTGGATCCAATCCCAACACAAATGCTGCCAACAGTGTGGACATAGGATCCAGCCAGCACAGAGCTGCAGCATGCTGAGAAGTGTGTGGGATTAAATTAGCATTAGCCTCCTTTGTGATGCAGATCTGTGTGGGATTAAAACATCTGTTAGCGGTTAGCTTGTCCAGTGGCTGGCGAAGGAGGATCTGCTATTGTTAGTGAAACTGGGAGGAGAAGAAGAATAAGAAGAGGAGGAAACATACAGAAGACAGTTAGTGGTAACAAAAGCCAAGGTGATTATGTGTCACTATACAGCTACGGCAATGCAGTGAGCTACCTGGAGATGTGGCTAACATGGCTATCACCCTGCTGAGGAGAATGGCAGGCAATGCTTCCCAAGATGCACTGCAGCTTTAGACTCAATCCCACTCACAAAAAAATTTGAGTTATGTTTTTGCATCTGTAGGAGATTATAAATAAAATAGCTAGCATGTGTGCATGAGCATGTGCGATAACGGCCTCATGTGAGTGTTTTCGACAGCTGTTACAGACCCGCACTCCCCCACACTCACTCAGAAATGTGTCTTGAATGCAGACCTACTTCCATACATATATGATTATTAATGACCACAGCGTGAATCTGGACTGAATATTCATCATGTGACCTAATCCCTCTCTGAGCTGGAGCCTCTTCGGAGTCTTCGGTCCCACTGGGGCCTCGGAGCCGCCGGCCTGGTCTGTCACTGGGAGCATCTTCTCCCCTTAGGGACATATCACACCCCAGTTCAGCCACTGACACATATGTTGTCACTTTGGCTGATCTCTTCCCTCCAGCTATGGGCTCATTCAATACATGTATAGCATAATGAATATACTGTATGTGCAATACATATGAATTAAGGGTAATTTGTGTGTTAATTAATATATGTTTATTCATTACATGTGATCGTTTAACACTGATTAAAAGGTGGAATAGACTAATTATGGACTAAATGACATGAATACTTATTTCTACTGTGTGAGTGCATATTAGGGTCAGAAGGATGTTGATAAGTCTTCTATTGGAAGTCACATCTGGCCCAGTCGCTCATTCTCCTCGCCGACGTTGAATTTGGTTTGATTCTTCATTTAATGACCAGCTGACAAACACTACACCGATTGAACAGGAGCAATTTTATTCTGCTGCAACATATTGCATTAATTCATCTCTGTCAGTTATATAAGGAGTTTCAGTGGAAAGTTGGCATGTGGCAAGATGTGCAAAAGGGATTAACATATTTTATTCTCATGGAAACAACAATTAAAAACAAAACATGTTTGATCTCGGAGGACTTTTGGGGGGGGGGGGGGCGTACTGCATCTAGACATAAATAGCAGAAGTTTCAATCTAAAACATATCTTAAAAACACAGTGTAAACTATGTCTTGAGAGCTCAGACTGTTTACCTCACTAGCTTTTGAGATTGAAATGTGAAGAACATCGACTGCTACAAGGTTTAATTAAATTATGGTCAATGCTTAGATAATAGCATGACTCAACATGTCTTTAAAGTACTGAAGCTCAATTATTGCAACAGTGGTTTTACTGTAGTTTCAGCACAAATTCAACATGTTTTCAGAGCTACCACTATGTTTTTCTTGTTTGAAAATGGGAAGGAAAATCCATTAAAGTTCCAATGACTGGTAAATGTGTTCAATCAGTTTAGTCCTGTCTCTTACAATGTGCATTCCCGTACAACAAAACTGCATTCTCAATAATGTTTAGAGAGAAACCTATTTTTTAAACAGCCGATAAAATACCTACGCTTTTTTTTAACGTAGCTCAAATACATTTCTAATCAAGTCTGAAAAGGGTCAAACAAACATGGGACTTTCACCCAGGAGCCGCTGTTTGTGTTCCGAATAAAACCAAAAGTCAACATTAAATTATTTAAATTTATGTCCGTAATTTCAATAACGAAACTAACCTACTTATTTTAAGCCAAACCGGGATGTTTGTGATAAACTCAAGCAAGTAGTTCTGTTGAGTTTTTTGTTTTGTTTCAATTTACAATGTTAATCACGAGTAAAGAACTGCCACTATGATTTGGGAGAAAATACGTTCCCCTCAAAACATAATTGAGAATGCAGTTCACTTGTATGAGGACGTATTTTTGGAGACAGGGTTGCAAAGTTGATATGTAAGTGAATGGTAAAACTGACAATAATATATTATGGAGCCTACGTATAATAACATTTCAGTGACATTAAAACCAATGCTTACCAAGCCTCAAATATCGCTAAAAATAAACTTTCAGTTTTTAACTCACAATGGATAACAGAACAGAAAGAAGCAGTGGCAGATGATCCATCTCAAAAACTGACATCTGTAAATTAAGTCAGCCAAACTTTCCAGGATATACTGTATGAATCATATGGCCCCCAGACTGACCTGAGAACATTTGATTCATATGTAAGAAGCAACAATTCAAGAACGTTCTAATATTGTTGCTCACAAGTCTCATATTCCAGTCTCCTGTCTAGGTTATGTGATCTTTGTTAGATGTAATAAGGGAAATAGTTGTTTTGTTAATTTTTTTGAATGATCTAAATGTGGTTGAATTCACTTAGATGTTGTGATTTTTCTCTATTGATAAGGATCCAATTAAAAAATATATGATATCGGCAGCATAAGATCCCGTTATACCTTAAAGAAGCACACCAACCAAGACTCACTTCTCCTCCTGCAGCCAGTCGGTGAATTCTACACATGTAGAGAGCAGTTAGGAGGTTAAATGTGTGTCGAAGGTCAGGCTGAGTAATGACTTGAGCTTCACTGAGCTAGCAGGTTAGTGTGCTAGCCGTGTTACTGTGGGACTTGACTAAGGAGGTGGACAGGAAGTGACTCACCACCGTAGGGGTCAGTGGCATTGTAAGACGTGTCATTATACGGCTCCTCTGAAAACACACACACACACACAGTGGCTCATCAGTCCACACATGGGACACACTCGCAGAACCTGACGACACACGGTCACATCTGAAGAAAAATATTTCACATTATATCAGATAACCCAACATTTCATTGTCTTCTCTTCTCTGCAGCAACCTGAAAAACTCTCATTAAAGGTTATGATTGAATGCTTCTCATGTCATGTCATGACATCACCTCTAGATGGGGACATGTCATACTCCATTGGTTGGATTGGTGTGTGATCAGAACACACAGCAGACAGTGAGAGAGAACAGAGAGAATAAATGACTACATTAACTCAAAGTCAGTACGGGATCTGCAAGTGTGTGTGTGTGTGTTGTCGACTCACTAGTCAGGACTTTAAGTGTGAAGGGGTTCTTCTGCTGGATGGTGTGTGTGAAGAGGAAGCGAGCGTTGCAGCTGTAGTCGGTGTGAGCGTCTTTGGTCAAGACGTTGGAGAAGTATAGGTCTCCGTTCAGACCCATGGACACCCTCTTATCCTGAGGGATCGGAGTCATCGCTGGAAGACAGAGGAGGTGACCAGAGGGACGGACAGAGGGAAATGGAAAGAGAGAGAGAATGAAACCACATGAACAAGTTGATCTGATAGAATCTTCAGCGTAAGTAGCAGCTAGTAGTCGCATGTTAACATTAACACTGAGGTGAAGACATGAGGATTTGCAGTTTTAATGTTCAACTTAAATATAAAGTTGAAGACTCTTCACCTTAGATAAGTAATGAAACAAGACTTCAGGACTAACACACATTATTGTTGGGAAAATCATAGATTGTCGTTAATTGTTTAATATATTGTTGAATATATATTGTTTTCTGATGAGAACACATGTGATACATTGGCTATTTTCTATCAATTTGCATTTCATTCTGAATATTTTGGATTTAATAATTTGCCATTTTGTAATCATATTTGGAAATGTATAATTTGCTATACACATGTAATATTGTGCAAACAGTTCAGCGCCTCTTAAATCACCCTTTTTTATGGATATAGTTAGTGTAATTCATTTGCCAAAAAGAGACAAGAAGCACAATAAAAAAAGTTAAAGATGAATTTGACTGACATTATTATTATAATCTTTTACTCAAATCTCAATATTGTGAATATACTGTAAGTTATGGGTTGAACTACAAATTTCAATTTGGGTTCATGGAGTTTGAAAGAGAGGGGCGTTCAGCAGGCATGCAGGGTCTGATGAAAAAAGTCAATTGCATTATGGGAAATGCAGCATCCAGTGTTTTTGTAGATTGATCCATACTATGAACTACAAGTCTGGTGTCTCTGCCACTACTGCTTTGATTTTGATCTGCCTATTTCAAGTCCCACAACTTATACTAAAAAGTTCTTCATGAAGGCCTATATCAACTGTAGCTGTTTGTCAAGAAATCAAATGCTACCATCACCATCTATCTCCCACATCCTGTATCAAAGAATCCAACCACTAGCCTGCAGATTGTTAGATGCATATATCTTTTTTCACATACAGTATAACTCAGTTCACTGTCTGTCCTGGTGAGCTGATGTGTCATCCTACAGTAGCTACAGGCAAACGTTAACGTGCGGCCCACAAACACAGACGTCCAGACGGACCGTCATCCACACTCTAACTGCTCCAGCTGACGTGACCCGTATGGTCGTCAAGAAAATGCCCCGGGACCAATCAGCAGCCGGGCCAGCAGTCCTCATCAGGCGTTGGCTTGTTAAAGTGTCTGGGCTGCATGACATGCTGATGAACTGTGGATGATATGAGACACCAACAGCTGCACTATCTACATCTGTAACTAGGGAGGAAATCTTTATTGTATTAAAAATAGTTGTGTAGCAATGTTCTTCTCAAACAGTTTCCAGGTATTTTAGTAATTTCAAGTCATTCAGTTAATGTAATGGTTGTTGGACTACGGTGCTTTTTGCAGTGTTTCTGTTTGGCTGTAAAACGGCTTCTGGCTGGACATGGAGGTTTGCACACACACACACTCAGCAGTACTGTGGCGTGACCCACTTAGGAGAAGGACCGTACAGTGCAAAGAAGAGAGGTGAGGAAAGGATGCCAGACTGGCTCCAGACTATGAAATCTCAACTCCAACTGCTGAAAGAGTGAAACTGAGAGAGGAGGAATAAAAGCCCAAATTAAAGCAGTACGCTCAGAGGTTACTGGAGACACACTGCTATGAAAAGAGGGACATCAAGCCTGTCTCTAGATGACCTGATAGACCTCTAGCCTTTCACAATTTAAAGGGACTGCAACCAAAACCAAAATGCACTTCTCAGCAACTAGGTTGAACATTACACATTGCATGAGCAGAACAGCGTGCTGGTGGCCAGCGGCAGCGTTGAGTCTAACGGTCCCTTGGCCTCACAACCTGCTGCTCTGGGGAAGAACAAGCTACCTAGCAAACTAGCCACCCATTCCTTTCCAGGGCTGTTCAGAGAGAGCAAGCTGTTCTTTACAGCTCCACTGTGTGTGTAATCACCATAACAATGAACAATAATCACTATTTTCTTTGTACTAGTGAAATGACCACGGATAACAGTTCTACTCCTATTCTATTTCCATCATCAGCAACACACAGCTAAAACACACTACATATAGAGAAATACACTCAGTGTACTTGTGTGTATACTTGTGTGTAATTGTTGCTCACCGCTGTTCATCCAGAAGGTGAAAGGAGGGGGCAGGCCTGGTGGAGGGTTGCAGGCTAGAACCAGCGGGGTGCCTTCAGTCACCACTACCGGCTCCAGCACCTCTTTAGGCCACAGAGGAGCCTCTGGAGGACGGGGACAGGGGGGATGGGAGTAGATGGGGGTGGGAAAGGTGAGGAAGAAAAAGAGACAGAGATGTGAGAAATGATACATGACAAGAATTTCAGTCAAACTAAGCTGAGGGAGGAATAATAGGATATTGTCCATCAGACTAAGTCTGCAAACTCTCCTAGGAACTGTTGCTGTTCTTCACAAATGATTGTATTGTATTGTAGGGCAGTTTTGCTGGTTCTAATTGTGGTCACCAGTTTATTTCAAGCAAGCACAGTCACATTGAAACAAGCATTTAATCAAACTTTGCTGTTGCATTTCTTCTTTTTTATGTGAGATACCATAATGCTTTCTTTGTCGCCTATGATATGTTAATGTATGCATTATGTCCAAATATTGTGTAATGACGTGTGTGTGTTCTTGTTTATTCTTACTGGAGACCCGGAGCAGGATTTTGTTGGACAGAGCCACTCCGAGGTCATTAGTGGCAAAACACTGGTACTCCCCCTCATAGTCCTCTGGTCGTCCTCCGCTACGGAAACCGATCTCCAGAGTTCCCGAGCGTTTTCGCATTGTCACCCTGGGATCTTTCCCGATGTTGAAAAACTTCCCATTCCTTCGCCATGAGAACCTGAGCCAGAAGACAACGGATCAAATGGTTGGCGTTATAACATTGTTGATCCCTGGAACTGAAGTTCATTCTACTGATGTCCTCTTTATGTGATGCTCATTTTGACTTTGATACAGTCTTTCTGGTGACAACCAACTTTTATTCCCTTGTCATCACTCTTCTTACCCTAAAACCTATTGTAGTCACAGGACATTTATAAGAGTCAGCAAACACTCCTGAAAGCTAACCCAATGGAAACTATCCACACCTTCTATTGCATTACAACCAACCATCCAACTCCTATAAATATCTAAAAAAGGTTAAATAAGACTGGAGAAATTCGTATTGGTTGAGTGAGTTAAGTGTTCTCAAGCAGGGAAAGGTGATAAAAACATTTCCTTCATGCAACTATACTCTCAAGCAAAAATAACTTTGACATCATACCAACCCGTTCTCACCCCCAACCCATCGAAACACCAATGCTTGGTCAGTTCCCCTCGGCGTCTGATACCAAAGTCACAATTGACTTATCTTACTGTACATTGTTACACAACTTACATACTAAACCAACGGCAATAACCTCATCAAGTAGTTTTGAAGCATAGTGCCACACCAAGTGTCAATATTTGGTGAGTTGGGAGTGAAAATATGTGGATTATACAATTATTTCACATTTAAACCCTTCCAGCACCTCAATCGTTCCTGGCAGGGTTTTAAAGCTGCAGGAAAAGTTTTAACACAGCAGAGTAGAAAAAGCTCAAATGAATGGGTGAATGATAACAGTTTCTGTTAAAAAGAAATTCAGGGTAGTGTAGCATATGATAGGACTCTGTGATGATGACTGATGGAATAAATCAATAATAAGGTGTGTGTAATTTTATGTTTTATACATAAACAAACACCAGTTCACTTGTTTAGGAGACCATTAAGGAAGGGGAAACATGGAAAAAGTTATCTAAGCATGAGGTACACCCGCTGGGCTACCACCAGCTTAACATGGACTCTTAATTGTTTTAACAACTGGTAAATATGAAAGTCCTTTGCTTGTCGCGTGGTTGCCATCTTATGTTACTCAACTGCCCCATGACAGCAGCAGCACAACAATCCGCCATACCACACGCTCTCCATGTGCTTGTACTGTAGCTTAATCCTGCTCCATGTGGTGTTTCCAGAGGGCTCCCTGATTAGTGAGGAACACTGATATACAGTATGCTTACATAACCCGCCGCTATTTTTGGTACAGTAATAAGCGAGGATTTACAGAAGATGCTTCCTGTCCACTTCCAGTGGAGCTGGGCCTGTTTGAGGTGCAGCACAGCACTAAGCCTGAACAATGGGCCACTATTGAAGGTCTGCAGAACAGAGCTGTTTGTGTGTGTGTGTGTGTGTGTGTGTGTGTGTGTGTGTATGTATGTGTGTGTGTGTGTGTGTGTGTGTGTGTATGTCGTGGCATGTGTTGTGTAGTGAGAGATGAGTGAATAAGTGAACGATCCCTTACGCTGAATGTTTCATGAGCATGAATAGTCAACTGAGTGCATTATTGGAGCACAAAGCCTGTCCTGGGAAGGGGAGAACCAGTGTGTGTGCATGGGAGAGAGAGTGCCTTATTGTGAGGTTGTGTAAGTGTGTGTGTGTGTGTGTGTGTGTGTGTGTGTGTGTGTGTGTGTGTG